CGGGAAACTTTAAATCCCATCAAGTGTAAACCTCTTCTTGGTCTCGAATTTATTTCCATATACGTTTCAGCGAGGACATTTGTTTACAAGTGAATCGGGATCACTAAAAACCATCTTAATTCAAGAACAACTTTGCTTAACCTTGCTAAATCAGTTTTGAAGCTTTCAAATGCTGAAATGCTTCTATCTGAATCTTTATCTTAACTGTGATCTGTTCAATCACACCCAGCCTCTGATTGCTTCACGTATAAGACTTTCCACCATTTTGCCGGCCTATCATTTCCTGTCAATGAAAACCAAACGAACATGTCCATCTTGCAGTCTCTCTGAATTACTGATGTCATTGTCTCTTTATCACATCAGAACACAACACGTTTTCTTTTCTCGTTCCACTGTGACATCATTTGGCTGCCTAAAAGTTTTCTTTGGCTCTTCCCACGTGTCATTCACATTGCTGTTTTTATTGTTAGCTTCTGATGTTTGTTTTGCTTGACTTGTCTCAGATGTGACGTCAATAGTCGCAGGTGCACTGTCGTGCTTGATTGCAGATGGAGGTGTGGTGGGTTTGGGTTCGTATTTTGCTGTCACAGCTTGCGAAGAGAGCTTTACATCTTCTGGTGATACTGCCTTCGAACTCTTGATGTCTTTGGCTAAGGTTTTACGATAACAAGCTTGTGAGTTTACATTGACATTTCGTTACAGAAGGGATTTAGAATCACGGTCACGGTAAACGTCAAACGGCCGATTCAAAATCACAATCTCTCAAGCAGACAGAAACTGTCCAAAATAATTCTTCTGCATGAAACTACCTATTTTCACAGGGCCAGTAATAACACATCATTAAATAATACAAACTTATAACGTTGCACGACTTGTTCTTCAAAGCCTTCCGACAAGGTGGACCTCTGAGGCCCTGTATTCTGTGGCTGCCCTAAGATTCAATGCATAATTGAAGCACAAAACGGATTTAACATTAGTTCCCCAACGATAAACATACCAGTTGAATCAACGATCTAAATTTCAGTGTGTAAATACCGAAAAAACCTGCAATAGTGCGCAAAAGTCATCTTACAAAAGGGGTGGTTTATAGGTGCTAAGATTCTCGCCAAACTGACAAGGACTCGAAGCTGGAGATACACGGACTACAAGAAACTTACCTAACTGATGCAATGCAGCATCCGAAATTTCCCGTGACTCTCTAGACTTTCTCTTATTGAAAGCATCAGGGTAGCCTGAAGTGTCAGGTTGCTGAGACTGATGCCTTCCCCCCGTGCTTCCAGACGATCGTGGCATGGCTACAGGTGCGCCTGCAGTACCAGATAACCGCTGATTTGGTGCACTACTGCTTCCAGAAGATCGAGGCATTGGTACTGGCGGTGTAGCATGTGTTTTTGTTAATTTAGGTATTCCTGTAACAGACTGTTGCGCTGTGTTAGAGTGGACATTAAGCTCCGATAAAGGTTTAGCTGACGGAGTTCTTTGTTCATTTCTTTCCACAACTTCTTGTTTGCTGTGACTACTTTTAATCACGATATTTTCTTTCGTTGTTTGTGGAAACCTAAGGGAGGGATCAGCTGGCAGCTGACGGCGACCTTGCGCTGGAGAGCGAGGAGGCGGACAAGATATTTTAGATGTAGTTTTCTCTTGTACAACCTGCGCTGTCGTAACAGTCCTGCTTTTGTATTGAACATTTTCTGTTAAACCTTCTTCCTTTCTTCCCGCAACATCCTTTCCTTTTGTTACAGTTTCACTAGGTTTTGCATCTTTTGATAAATTGTTTGTTACATCAGCCACTGTGTTAGTCTCCTTTTCATGACCTGTAATACCGACTACTTTGGTTTCACCATTCAATGTTCTTTCATATTTTCTTGTCATAGAAATTTCTACCATCGTTGTATCGTTACCCGCTAGTGGTCGTTTCTCCTCTCCTTGTCTTCTCCCTGGTACAGGTGACTGTTCTTTAGGTTTTATTCTTGACTCGTCTATAGATTTTCTTTTGTTGTCTTCTTCACTCACGTCCATTGCCCTTGGTTCCTCGTTGGCTACTTTCTTTTCCTTCTACATGAAATGAAGAAAACACTATCTTACTTCCTTTTATTACCAGACGTGAAAGTTAGATTTAAGTGGTTTAAATCATACGAATATTGAAAGAATAATAATCAATTGTACGATTGGTTTAAGCAGTAAACTTACATCGTTTGAGGGCAACGAGACAAATTGTCATACCTCCAAACTCAAGCGCTTTTCTCGACTGGAAGAGAACGTATCACATGCCATGCATCAAAGCAAGGCGAACAAAAGCCAACAATCATGTCCCTAGGGAACTCTAAACCCGCTCATGACCAGGTCATGTAACTTAAAATTTGGGACAGCCGCAACCAGTAATTATTTATTTGCCGTTTTAAATTTGGGAGGTTATAACAAAACACTTCACGAGAGGTCCCATGAGAAACAGTGAGCTTTGTCACCCAAACAAAACTTGCTGTTTCCTTTAGGGTCATCCTCAAGTGTTCATTATTGCTTTGTCACTCAGAATGTGAGTGAAATTGTAGTAAGGGAGTCTATTTACTGGTAAGACCAGGCTTGTACGACTCATATACAGGTTGAGCAAGGGTGCAAATGGTGAGCAACAGACATGATACAGCATAACTGACTCGTTTGTAGAGGCAGATGCAGTTTGACACCAGACTAAGCTGCATTACCTTGATCAGGAAGGCCAGCTCGGGATGCTGTCGCAGGATTGCCTCTGCCTTGGCTTCATTCTGAGAAATTGATATCTTGTCCTTGAGGCTTGAACGCTTGACAGACAGCCTAAACATAAATGAAAAGAAAAGTAGTGTCAGGTAAACATGTCAAAAAAATTTCAACACATGGGCGATTTTGATTTTAAGCGCAAGACTGGGCCAGTGTTGTGTTGAATTGGACAATGGGACTGTTTTGGGGCTGTCATTGGGTAAGTCGCAAAAAAGTAGGTCAAAATTGGGCCCCCAGAACAGTCCCTAAGTTCGATAGGTCAGTTTGCAATTTTCAAAATTCACTCGTCTCTGGGGCTGAGGGGAATAAACCAAAACAAATTCACTATTCCTCGCTGAAACTCAACATGCTTTCATTTGTTTTGTACCCCTCTGACCATGAATTTTAATACCTACAAACTGGCCTTCTTGACACCACAGTACACCAATCCAGTCTCAAGAGCAACAACAGGGCTTAAGCAAAAATGATGGCAATGGCAATGAGAGCAGCGAAAAAGCAATAGGGTTAGAATGGCAAAACAACAACTCTGCACGTGCATCATGCTTTTTTGTATATTGCTTTACCGTTGTTACACGACTACAACTTGAGACTTCCTAGTTTTGTTTTCTGGAGGACATGAACACAAGACAACAATTTTCTTTTTCTTTTTCTGAACTTAGATACAACCCTTTAGGATGAACTCCAGAAAAATTCCTCACCATTTGACAAATGGAATGAAATGGGATGAGAGTAATGTAGTATGAAACAGCACAAAATCACTTTCAAAGTAAAACTTTTGCTGCCATTGCCATCCTGGTTACTTAAGCTCTCTGTTGAAATGGCTAAGACTGACACGCAAGTTATTAATGACAATATAATGCACTACAACCCCACACAATCTGTCATTTGAACCAAGTTCAGTATCACAGAAATTTATAATGTATCACCTATTTTTCTTGATGACTTTTCCTTGAGAATAGACAGTTTTTAGAGCGCTTACAAAAAAATTTTAAACAGTTAAGTTCAAGGTTTAATTGTGCTTCTTTATTTTAGTGGTGTGCTGGTGAATCGATTATGAACATAATTTTATTTCATATTTTTCCAAACATTGTGAAAATATTGTTGCCTGAATAGTTGAGTTTCAGAATTATCTTTTAAAAGTGAGTTAAAATTATGTAGATAACAAAGGGAAGAAAAAGAAATAATAACTTACGATCTTGAACTGTTCCTCTTTCGGCGAATGTTCTTTACTTTAAATTTGTTTGTCTTCACTTTACTTCTTAAGTCCATGATAAATTGTCTTGTATCAGCATCTTCACATAAGTCTAACATAAAAGAAAAGAGTAAAAAACATTAACTCAAAATGTAATACAGTTTAATCCTTTTCATACAACAATAGAGGGACTGCTTGCCCCTTTAAGCCCCNGAATAGACAGTTTTTAGAGCGCTTACAAAAAAATTTTAAACAGTTAAGTTCAAGGTTTAATTGTGCTTCTTTATTTTAGTGGTGTGCTGGTGAATCGATTATGAACATAATTTTATTTCATATTTTTCCAAACATTGTGAAAATATTGTTGCCTGAATAGTTGAGTTTCAGAATTATCTTTTAAAAGTGAGTTAAAATTATGTAGATAACAAAGGGAAGAAAAAGAAATAATAACTTACGATCTTGAACTGTTCCTCTTTCGGCGAATGTTCTTTACTTTAAATTTGTTTGTCTTCACTTTACTTCTTAAGTCCATGATAAATTGTCTTGTATCAGCATCTTCACATAAGTCTAACATAAAAGAAAAGAGTAAAAAACATTAACTCAAAATGTAATACAGTTTAATCCTTTTCATACAACAATAGAGGGACTGCTTGCCCCTTTAAGCCCCGACATATCCACATGCAAATTCTCCAGACTGCCCTCTGTACATTTCTTGTGGAATGAGTTGAGAGAACTTGTTAAAAGATCAAAGCATTCTCCCTTTTGTGATCATTTATTATTTCTCATAACCTTTTCTCTTGAGTATGTATTGATATTGTTAGGAGAGATTGATATTGGTCACTATTGGGGCTTAAAGAGTTAAACATTTAGCCCCACGACTTAGACAGTCCTGAGTATATTATGACCAATCATAATGGAGATAAATACACACAAATACATTGCACACTAATTATAATTAATGTTGTGTATTCTAAATAAAACTAAGGAAACTTGAACATGGGGAAACTCATTTAGTACAGCAACTCCAAAAAACCTCATGAACAATGCCATATTATAGGGCATATGGTATTGGCAGATCATGTGACCAGCAAACACCTGATTACCTTTGCCAGATGACAAAAAACACATTCCAGACACATTTAAGGAGTTCATGGTTTTTGTAATTTGATAGTAGAATTTAAAATTACCCCTTTTTTAAAATCAATTTTTGAAGCATTTTACTCAATAAATGGATGGACATAATTTGCAACCAAACAATTTGTCACCATTTTCCTAAACTAGCCACATGGTTTTCAAGGTGTCATAAGGTAACGCAGTCATCCCATACCTAGTGGAGATTCACCATAAGGTGTTCGACTGTCCAGATCAGCTCCATGCTGCACAAGTAACTCAATTGCTTTCTCCTGTTTGACATAAAAAGACAACAAAACATGCTCAATACGAAGTTAAATAAGGTGACAGCACAAACCATTACCCACAATTTTAGACAAAACAAAAAAGAAGAGGAAACCCTGCTTTGCCAGGAATAAAGATGAAGTTGGGCGAAGGACAAAATGCACCACTTCCCTTTTCTTGATTTGAAGGGAGTCTCAATAATAATATTATTGTTCTGTCTATTTTGTCCAAGATTCCAGATATTAGGTCAAAAAGGTTAAAAACTATGCCTGAGGGCAACACAGACACATTTTCAACTTGCATAATGTGGAAGCTAGGCTTGATTGATTTCAGATTCATCTCTGGATTTCTGCATTAGTAGCGAATTCACACGTGAGGTAGTTCTGGAATTTCTGAGAGCTTAGTTTTCTTGAATTTGAAATAAACGTATCCATGGTAATTTAATCCATTCAAAAATGTTTTCACCCGACTGAACACTGAGAAGTTGTAGCCAAAAGTTCACTGCTCATTACGCATGTATGCAGGAACACAGATTTCAATTTGATGACTTTATAGGAGTTTAGTTGACCTGGAGTGACTGTTATTTTCAAATATTTACTACATTGATATCCAAATAAAAGAGTTTTGACAAGGAACAGAGATTAAGCAACAAGCATAACAGAATTAATAAATCTCACATTTCCCCAACAAGCAGCAGCATGGATAGGCTTCCATCCATCCTTGTCCTCAACATCAACATCAGCTTCATTCTCCAGCAAGAACTCCAGCACTTCCTCATATGCATTGGCAGCAGCAATATGCAGCTTACAATGAAAAAAATAAATAGTTAAATCTATTCCTGCATTCCATAATCTAACATGGCAAATGTTGACGTTGGAAAAGCTGTCCCAAAATGTAAAATGTCTATGGCATTGTTCATTGTGGTTCAATTTTATACCTGCTTAAAATCTTATTTTGAGCTAGTTTTTCAGTGTTACTGTATTTTGAAAAAGGAAACTAAGCTATCGATATCAGATGAACCAGAGCTTGATTGAACCTCAACATGGCTATGTAGGTTATAAACAACATTATGTCCTTCCACAATTCAAAACTCAGAAAAAGGTTATTGACATACAGGTAAACGGCTGTCTAAACACTTCATATCAAGAAAACTTACTGCTGTTGCACCCTCCATATCTTTAACTTCTAAATCCCTCTTCTTTTCAATTGCATCTTTTATGTCTTCAAGCATCTGTTTTTCTCTCAATAAAGCTAGCTCATCAACTTTGCTTTCATCAAAGCCTGAAGGATTGGACAATATCAGTAACAATAATATTACAGGAGGTGGTCATTACAAGTATCAAACCACAGGGTGTCTCTTCCAAGGTGAGGTCCTGACATAGCCTGCCAGCAAGCTCACATGTGTGAGTTTAGGAAAAAATTTGGTGGCAGAGCTGTCAGCACTCCAGATAAAGTAAGTCTGCAGATGGGCTACTAATTTTTGAATTCTCTACATTCACTGATGAATGCAGTGATTTAATTGTTAAAAGTGACAGGCTTCAACAGGTTACATCATGACAGAAGCAGGACACCGGGCATAAACGTTCACATCTCAAACTTAATGATAAAAAGCATCGGTAGGCCTGCATGACTTTTGCCTCATATGAAAATGGTGAAATTGTTACTTGGTCCAATAATTTTCTTTCCAGCAGGCACAATTATTATGCTATGAAGGATTCTTAAATTGGAATAAGCAAATGCAGTTCTGTCTGGCTGAGCTTGTACATCAACATCTCCATAGTCATAAAAGTGTCAGTACGCTAGCATGACTTTTAAATCATGTCTAAAAGCTGCTTGTTTCTAACAGGCAGATAATGTTATGGAGAATTTTTAATTTTGACTTTTAGCAAATGTTATTTTTGCAGCTTGTTGAGATGATGGTGGTCTGTTTCACGCATATTAGTTTCTAAGGTTTTTTTTTCTGACTGGATTTGACCTCTGATGCAGTTTCACACAAAAACTCCACCTGAAACTTCCTGTCAGATTTTTTGCTTACATTAATAATGCTTTGCTCCTGTTGGATAGTATCTTGACACCTCAAGAGGGATGAAATTAAAAAATAAATAGCCCACATGCAGGCTAGAAAGTAGTGTCCGATAGCCCGGGGCTAGTGGATTTTGGTATTAAGCTAGTGAATTCTGTTATTAACTTGCCCGACGGGCAAGTGAAGTTTTTTTAGGAATTCAAATTACAGAAGAACTGTGAAATCAATTCTGCTCATCAAGATGTATTTGGGGCTAGTTGAAATTATGTTTGGGCTAGTATATGCTACCTTAAGCTTGCCCAAATGTAAGCTTTAAAAATGACTTTCTTTGCACCCTGGAGGTGCTGGTAGTTGTTTACAAGAGAGTCTTCAATGAAGGCATTGACTTGGAAAAATTTTGGTGTTTTCAGGGCTCAAAATTAAAAAACTCCTCAGGTCGCCTTTTGGCAACTGACTGGAGAAACATAGTCGCCAGAGTCGAATTTTTTAGACACAAGTTTGTATAATGTAAACTAAGCCAGAATTTTAGTCACCAAGGAAAAAAATGGCTGTGACATTGGTGACTGTATCAGCCACAATTTCGATCCCTGTGTTTTGAAGAGGTGGTCACTTAATAATTATGGAAGGTGGTTGCTGACATGTTAGGGAGGTGGTTGCCTGTGGAGGGTTGAAAAATCAAGCAATCCTGAACAGGCGGCATGTACAGGGCTGGAAAAAAGACCTGTCTGATAGTCTGGGATGAGAAGATTTTCTTGCTTTTAAACGTTACTTGCCCCGTGCAAGTCATCCTCTAATAAAATCATAAACTAAGACAAGTAAGAAGTTGCCACAGGCAAACAAAGAGCTAATGGCCCAGAGGACAAGTTTGAATTCAAGTTTTTTTCGAGCCCTGAAGATAAGTCTACTATTTGTTGCTCAAGTAGCCAGCAAAAACAAAGGGTTTGCTTCATCCTGCCCATTTGCAGTAATCCAATAAGGGAAACCAAGGTTTATCCTCCAGAAGAGGCATTACTTTCGGAATATGACAAATCACCTTACCATGCTTATCCATTTCTTTGAACAAGTAGTTCTTAAGATCCTCATCATCTTCCACTAAATCAACAGGCAAGTTTCCATCCAAATTGAGAGCAACAACATTGGCCCCACGTTCCACCAAGTATTCAACCATTGGAGCATTTCCACATGCCGCAGAGGCATGCAGAGGTGTCCACAACTCTCTGTCTTCAGCATCAATGTTAGCACCGTAATCCACCAGAAGTTCAGCAATGTCGTCACACTCATCAATACAGGCCTTTTGAAATTACAAAAATTAAATTATGATAAGTTACAGACAAAGTGATATGTGTGGAGAAAAGAACTCAGAAAAAATTTCTGAGTTCGAGGTAGGAGTTGAACCCACAACCTTCCAGACTCTGGTTGGATGCTCTACCAACTGAGCTACTAAGAACTCTAGTGATGAGCAGGTCATTTGTGGGCTGACATAACCACCGCATCGTGCAGTCACATTATGTCATATGAACACACAAGCGGTGAACTAAATGGTCTCTGAGCAATGAATAATTAACAGAAAAAATTATGATATATGTAAATTTACTGTAAGCCACTTGGCTATTTTCAGTCAAGGTGGCCTCATTGGTATACTAAAAAAATGAAACAGTGTTGATTTCGATGTACCAAAACAATCCCACGGGAATTGAACTCTTCTTTCAAGAGAAAACTTTCTTTTGTTTTAAGATAGCCAAGTGGAGCAGAGTGAAAAAACATTGGCGAGGAAAGCAAGAAGAGTGTGGCCTGGGGAGAAAAATAGACGGGGCAGCCTATAGTCTTTGTTTTGATGTCGCCCATCCATGATACCAGATTCTGGTATCATGATCTGTCTGATTGGTCAGATCACTGACTGTTGACAAGAGAGCGATGAAAAATACCCACATTCTCGTAAATGTTATAGAAGATGATGCATTCCAGCATAAAAAAAACACCATAGCTCCTAACCATGTGAGTAAAAGCAATCTCGACATTCGAGTATTAGGCATATCTATGGACTTTTTCAGATAGCAAAAATACCTTCAAGTAAGTCACAGGACAGCTCTTTGAGGAGCCATTCTATAATGTTGCTGGATACTAAAGAAATGAATAGGCCATTTTACAGTTGTGTATGGAAGCGAGACTGAGGGTGACCTTGTTTTGATACAAACCTTTCTGCTTTATTATGTAAATCAAGTTATTCTTATGCTAACTATTATTTTTCAAGAACAATTTCCATAACAAAGCAAAGAAGGTTTGTATCAAAACAAGGTCACCCTCAGCCTCGCTTCTATCCATAACTGTAAAATGGCCTATTCTACTACAAAACAAAAAGATACTTATCTAGCTGAGCACTTACAGAAATGTAACAAGGCGCTGTAAGGGTAAAATCCAAAATTGGTGACAAACGACACAAAGTCAGGCGAAAGGGCCAGAGAAAATTAAGCAAAAATACAATAGTAAAATACCAACAGAGACATAGCTTCCTCCTAAATGTGGGAAATGACAGGTTTTGAAATTCAGACTGGTGACACAGGTAACCCCCTAACAGGGCCGCTGCAACTGTTTCATATCTGATGGCTCTTAAAACTCGGAGGGATTGTGAGAATCATGTTGGGAAAGTTAGGTGGTTGGGTCGAGACTTGACATTGTTTCCCAAGGGAAAACCCTATATTTCTGCTGATAATACTACTATTAATAATAAAAACAATGACATTGCCACAAATTTAGCACGGAGTAAACGAACCCCATACTTTTCGTTTACGTAACGGACAGAGAGAGTCACAAAACGTGATGAAAAAGTCTCAAATTACTCTTTAAAAGCCACCATCACTACGCCAAAATAAGCCATGTAAAAAGTTGCATCCAGGGTATAGTGAGTGCTCAGCTGAACAATTTCGCATCAATCAGCATTTGCCATAAATAAATCAACTTTTTTCGTTAATTGTGTGTTTTAATGACCAAAGGTCGCGTTTTAGTCTGAACAATCATAGTTCAAGAAGTCTGTGGTTACATCTAACCTAAACTGTCAAACACAAAGAAATAAATTTACAATAAGACAGAAAGGCGTTCGAGCGGAAAAACCACCACATATATAAGTTAGTAGCCAGAAAACGGTTTCATATCTTCAAATCACGGAAAGTTGATTCGGTCTTTACAGAGTGAACTGTGCTCGAAGGACGCACTTTATCTTTTTCTTAGCTCTACCAAATTATTTAAGCATCATATTTATCTAATCTAACCATATTCTCACTACACAGAGATTTAGACTTTGTTTGAATAGTACAATATTGTGAAAAAAGGATATGGGCTTATAAACAAAAGAAAATTCCAAGTATTAATTAATTTTTTGCGATGAAATTTTACTTGATAAAGCGATTTGTCTCAAAAGTAAAACAAACAAAATTTGCTTTGATTAATAAGCCTAAATAAACATAGAGCAGTTTGGAAAATAGTTCACAAATATCACATCTTAATGCGTTCTCCCTGAGTAAAAATAAAATACGTACCATAAACAACTAAATAAATCTTAGTCTTACTTGGTGAAGAGCGGTTAGTCCATCGTCGTTGGCCAAGTTTGGGTCTACTCCATAATCGAGCATGGTTTTTACTGTATAAGAAACATCAATAATTTAAACTTTGGAAATTAATAAAAAATCTCCACACATAACTACCTTCAAACAATTAAAACTCCACGGAATACAACTTTAAACTAAGTCGAACTAACCTTCGTCGACGTCTCCTCGCGAAGCTGCCTCGAGGAGAATTATCCTTGGTTCGAATTTCACTGGCCTTGCTCGCATAGGTTTCTTTTTCGGCGGTGGAGGACCAATTTCTTTATCTTTATCTCTATCCCATCGTTTAAGTTGCTGAGATCGGCGCTTTCTTGCGAGTTCTAGGCGATCTTGAACTGACAACTTCTCCACCTTCGGAATTTCAGCAACAAGTTCCAAGTGATCCGCCATGTTTAAGCGCGTGCGAGAACAAGCTAACCTCCTCTTGGAGGTAGATTTACAGTGGTGTTTCAATCAACCAACCATTTTTCTCGTCAATCAGCCTGGCTAGGATGAATCTGACAACGAAACAACTCGACCCAAAGAGTTTGTTGTCTGGCAAATTAAGTTTATGCAAATTTTGTATTTTAGAGGCGAGCCAAGGAAAATTCATTATCGTATACCATATATGGAGCGTGGGACGAAGGCGAGACCGATTCCTGACTTCCGGTTTGATTGGAAGCTAGAAATTCTAAGGAAAGTGGGCCTTGCCTCTTCACGGAATTCTTTTAATGTTCAGGCAACAATGGATTTCTAATTCCGTAAGTATTTCAAGAAAATTATTTAACTGAAAATTCGGGATCTCTAGAAATTGCAGGCTCCTGGACGTCTGACTACAAAATCTATCGAATTTTTATCGAAACCTGCTCCGATGTGAATATCAAAGTAATTTAATAACGCTTTATTTTTCTATAGACAAAAAGGATTTAAAATGTCATTCAAAAGTATAAATGATTCCCAGAAGCTACCGTCATTTTCACAGTCAGTTAGCTTTAGTTGCCTTTCACATGCTTTCAACGCCGGCAGCTACGTCAAACCAGAGTCCTCCTGATAATTGCTATATGTGAATATCTCTTTATGATAATCCAATAAAACAGATGTGAATATCATTCAATTAACAAAAACGGATTACGCAAGGGAAGTTGGGGGTGAAAGGTGAAAGTTAGCTCTATACCGGAAGTACGATTTCCACTTTCTGCGTGACCAATGGGGCGTGACTGCTATGACTTGCGTTACGCGAGTGGCATTTATCAAATAAACAGCGCAAAATTACGCAAGCGATGACGACCGATGACACT